TGTGTGTGTGTGTGTGTGTGTGTGTGTGTGTGTGTGTGTGTGTGTGTTTGTCCGTAATGGTTCACAAGACACACCACAAACTCCCTCTTTCAGACCAGACGGCATCCTCAGAGACACCTATATGTGTGTGTGTTTATGAGTGCGTGTGTGAGCTGATACCAGCGCAGCCCAGATGGCCATCTTCGAGGGGTTTTCTGGAACATTCAGACACTTGTTGCTTCTCGTCATGTCTCTCTCTCTCTCTCTTTCTCTCTCACACACACACACACACACACATGCACAGTGCTTCTTTTGAAGTGTGAAACAGCTTGCGGTCAGCTCTGCTCCTCTTCCATGGTTAAATCAAATAGCAGCCATTAGAGCCTTCAGATACATGATGAAACAAAAACAACCATGCGGTGTTAGCAGAGGAAAGCAAGAACAGATACTCTCCCTGGGTTTGTCAGATAGACGGTGCAGATCTTCACCTTCCTCTGCAGTGATGGACTAGAAGAGTCTTGAGATCAGATAGCAGCGTTTACTTGGAGGAGCCCAAAAAGTTCACCCAAAAGTGCTGTTGACCTGGTAGCTTTCCTCTTGAAAGTCAAAGGTTCTTTGGCTGTGATTTAGTGAATATAGATAGCAGTGCTTTGCAAGAGCTGTTAAGTAAGTGTGTGCGTGCGTGCGTGCGTGTGTGTGTACCTGCAAAGACTTCTTTTATAAAAGGGGAAACACCATATTTTTGGCTTATTTTAGGAACTGTATGAAAGTTAATTGAGGGTGAGCAAGGGTCAGAAAAGGGGGGAGGGTATAATGATATTTCTTTTAGCTGAATCAGGAAAGTCTCAGCGGGACAGAGTCATATTATTTGTTATCACCCTGGATATATAGAGTTTATTTTATTGCTATGCCCGGTGCTCAGTTCATATGGCAAATTTCCATATTTTTTATTTTCCGTTACGATATTGAGGTTTAAAATTGAGTCTGGGAATTTATGCTTTGCCTCTTTTAGTAAATGCTGTTTAAACATACTGAAAAGGGCCGTGTGAACCCCACCCTCCCCCTTTTCTCACCCCAATAATTTCCGTACATCCAGATAGGTGTGGGAAATGAAGGCCTGTTGTGGTTAGGATGGTTTTGGTGCAAACCTTATTCAACAGTAAGTCCCTCCTGGGCTCTGTTAACACATCCTCACTAACAGGACTGAAAGCACAACCCTCTTAGCAGAGGTCACATGGTATCCATGTCGCTCCAGGTCTGTCCTATCATTTTCATTATTTCAGCATTAAAAAATGCCACTGCAGGTGACTACCGTTTCTCATCAGGGTGACTACAACTGCACACTAATGCTTTGAGTAACCTCAAAGGACACTTCTGTCATTCCCATAATTGTGTCATTATGGTGTTTGTGTCTTAGTGTTGCAACTTTTTTCTATTTCACTCTCTGACTATTTATATCACTGTTTCCTAGTTTACAACTGTTTCAATGAAACAATCTTGTTCCTATGTTTAATATTTTATTATCCTTCTATAAGCATGCGGTATTGGATGTCCCTGTTGATGTTCTGGAGAACAAACTAGTCTGTGTCGCCCCCGTGTGTTCGCCATGTTGAACTGCACAATGAGTTTGAAGTTTGTTGACAACCTGCTCTCACAGAGCTCTATACAGCAGTAACAATAACAAACAGATACACAACCACTACACTAATTTCAGCAGATCCTTTATTCTTCTGCTCTTGGTGACTGATGACAGAATATAGTTATTTCAAGCAAAGAAAGGGAAGATTAAGGAACCAATAATGAACATTTGTTAATCAAGTAATGCAATAAATAGCTGAAACTCAAGTTTGTCCACTTAATTGCACTTTTTTTTTTTTTTTTTTTTTTTTAAGACTGGGCCAGAGTTATTCATAGAAATAAATTTTTTGAAAGTAAAGATTATCCTGCACTGAAATAAGACCTTTGCCAAGCAGATGGTGCAAAGAGAGTAGAAAGACCCAATCCAACCCGTAGGAAACTCAAAGACAACTTAGACAAACGGTTGTATTTTCTTTAATGTCAATTGTTTTTGTACATACATCCCAATGGATTTGCACTTCTTTTTACAATATGTACCACATATAACAGCACCGACATGTTATTTACACACATTACACAAGATTGTATCACAAAGCAGTGTGTGAAATTAGCCAAACAAGTGCTGAACCACCACACCCAATAGTCCATTAGCTGGCTGAGCAAATTAAAATACCACAGCTGTCATCCCCCAACCAGTTCACTGGCAAATGTCCTCTGTACTTTTAGAGGTTTGAAGCTGAAATCACAAGAGTGAAAGTGTTGCAACTCTCTTAAATAAAAGTGAGAAATGCTGACAACGCACCAGTTTGTTATCAAAGGGCCAAATGTAAACAAAGGTAAAATACAAGCTTTGAAACACTTACTGCAAAACGCAAGAACCAGTAATCTGTCGGGTGTATTTTGACGCAGACAGGAGAAAAAAAACAACATATATTTGGATTATTTGCAAACACGAAGTCACCAATAACAAACAGCGTTAGTGGAAACTTGCAAATAAGAATGCAGGACATGGGTACTAAGTGAAGCTTTGTCTCCTGGACCCCCCCACCCCACACACACTACTGAAAGTGTCAGCAGACTAACTGTAATGATAGTCACCATTATCTGTGTAAATTGGGGTGACCTGCTTTGTGATAAAACCCTGGTTTGGGCTGGAAGGAGCATCTAAAAGGAAAAAAGAATAGGATGAATTTAAGTAAAACAGGAAATAATTTGGCTAAGTGGTTGCTGGATTTGCCAGAACCCTGCATCCGCATCCAGAAGCACACACACACACACACACACACACACACATTGCACAACAACCAGAGATACTGTAGCAGCTTTCTCAAAAGGCAAAGACAAGTACAACACACTAAGTGGCAGTTCTGCTGTCAGATACGCAAAACCACAGAGCAGCAGTAGAATCAGATACACACGCTGACAAGCAGTTTGAGTCGAGCCACACAGCGAGGAGGTGGTTCAGCCTGCAGAGGAGCCCGGGTTTCAGTCCAGTCTGGTTTGGCCAGCAAGCCATAGAGGAGACAGAGGAGGAAGTATGCTTGAGGAACGAGGGGAGGAGAACTGCAAACAGGAGGCACCAGCCTGGTTCATACTGGATGTGAAGAACAAAAGGAGCCCGACCAAATAAACGATGTCCAAACGCAACATTCTGCAATTTAAGGATTTTAAGTGCGATGTGTGCTCGCCTCTATAATCAGATCTACTAGGGGCAACCAAACGGGAACAAATATCTTCTGGAAAAACAAAAGAACAGAACACTACTATGGAGAGGACGTGCGAGACAAGAGAGAAGGTAAAGAAAGAAAAAGGGAATAAATGTGTGGATTTGTAAAACTTAAGGTTCTTTATTTGTAGCATTGCAACTAAGATGAAAAGGAGGAAGATTTCAAATGGTTGGCCAAGGCATCAGTCCTCATCAGCTGTCCAGTCGGCCACCAAGGAGAGGACAGAGGAGGGATTGGTGGTGTAGGAAAAGTTCAGAGCATCCTGTTACGTTTATGGGTAGGTGAGTCCGTGATGACATCACTACAGGGGGCGGGGCCTCGTTTACGATTGGCTGTGGATTCCAAATGGAGCGCCATCTCCTCGGCGATGAAGGTGTTGAGGTCCACGTCATGAAGACCATTCCTGCGACGACTAAGGGGCTGGGCAGGGTGAGTTGGGGAACCAGGAGGACCAGAACGCACAGAAATGCTCGCCATGGCGCCACTAAGGCCTGGAATGAACAGAAAATGAATATGAAGCCACAGTATACTGCATGACCTCTGGGGCCCCATTGTTATAATGCAACGGCTTCCTGCCGAACGTGGCGTTTCTACGTACCATGCAGTGCTATGGCCTCTCTGAAAGGCTGCAAGTCCGTCTCCACAGAGCTGCCCGTCTCTGGGGGTGATGGTCGGCTTGCAGACACCATGGAAACTCTTGGCGGGGCGCGGGCTGTCCGTAGAGGCGGAACTTTGCCACACAGGAAGCTGATGAGGTCCTCGCGCCTTATAGTTCTTCTGCGTTTCTTAACCCATGCGATCACATCCTTATTCCTGCGCTGGTGGCCTAAGTGGATACCCAGGTCATAGCTCCGCTGGCGGGCCTCCATACTCTCTGACGACACACAGGGACAAATGTCTTTAAAATCTGGACACCGCAAACAAAGTTCATCGCCACATCTAATGTACAGACATTAGTTTCTAGTACTTGCCTTTGTAAAGGTTTGTGACCGCTGTGGCTGCATTCTGGAAGGGCACCCAGAGAGAGAGGCCTTGCTGCTGACATACTCTATCTGTAAATTAAATTCAAAAAGTTAGATTGTTATGATAACTTTCCAATGTTGTTTTCACACATCACAGAGAAATTCAAGTCTTAGCAGTCAGAAATGAGTCATTAAAATACAATTCCACTAAGAAACGAACCGGCGATGATGTATTTGGAGGAGCACATTCGCAAATTTGGATTTAATCTAATGGCTGCCTGTAAAACCGCTATGGTCTTATTGTATGAAGAGTATTGATACAGAACAGAGTATTGGGTTTATCACAAAAATACACGTACAAAAATCTCAGGGCCTGTGTTGTTCTCAACTACAAATCATCCTTTCATGACTTAAATCGCGACTGCAAATCCTTGCATCTGATCTGCAGGAGAAACCCTATGGACAGTATGATTATGCGTTGTATTACATTTTATTAAGATGAGAATACATATGGGGAGCTCGGAAGCAGGATTTATAGACTAAGTGGGATTCGGGGGATATGACTGCACTTGACAAGTGGTCAACAAAGCCATCTTAAACACTCATTTTACTCCCAGCAAACAACCCACTGGTCAAATCTAACCAACCATGATGTCACCATTTGACAGACGTTTTAAACGGAAGCTCGCGTTTATTTTCCGTTTCAGTATGTGTCATACTTCAAGAACCACAGTGTCAGTGTTATGTTCAAAACACGCAGTAAAGCAGAGTGGACTTAACCAAGACCATGTTTACTTTAATCATAACGCCATTTTGTTCTGGATATTAAAAAAAAAATGCAGTCATCAGCAAAAAGTACATTAAGTTGTGCGTCAGGAATAAAATGTCTTTGGGACGTTATGTGATAAAAATCCACCAACACACCACTGCGACAATTAGCTGTCGCTGCGATAGACCATCAACAAACGAGTTGTTTTCTGTCGGCCAACACCTCCCTGTTTATCGCCATTTTGACGAACTGGGTAACTGTTAACGGGGTGGACAAAAACATTTTAACGTGAGCAATGTGTGTCGAGACAGGACGAATAGATGTGATTAAAAACAGTAAAGACACACACCGCTGAGCCACTCGGGTCATGCATTGATAAACGCGTGCTTTATCAACGCGTTTGGCTCTGGAGGACCTCTGACAGCTTCACTGTGTCACATTCAGCCCGGTTCTCCCACACTCTGACACACTGACCGGCTGTTAGCGGCAGCTACAGCGTTAGCTGCGGGTTAACATCATCGATATCCACAAAGAGAACCGCAGAAACATATTTAGAGCACAATTTAAGAGAATGCACATTAACATTTCAGCCAACACACCATAGAAACAAAACACCGCTAGTTATGCTGTGGAACAAGCTGCAAACGGCTAACGTTTAGCCTCGCCAGTGCCCTTTGTGTCTCTCTCTCCGCTAGCAAGATTAGCTTCCATTAGCTCTGATAGATGGCTAGCTTGACTTGAACTTCGGTGTATTTGGTACAGACCTTTGTAGAGCTGTGCTACCGCGGTGGCCGAGTTCTGAAAGAGGTGCCACAGTTTCTGCTGGCTTTGTTCCGTCTCCTCCTCGTTTGGGTCGGCCCGCTCGACCTCTGCTAAACACTGACGTTCCCATTTAGAGAACCAGTGCTCGGGGCCGTGCTCTTGGATCTCGGCTTCTCCCTCCTCCTTCTTCTCCTCCATAGCTAACGGTAGGCGTTAGCTTATAAGCTAACCGTCGTATGAAATACAGGATCGTTTGGTTTGCGGAGATACTTAACTGTCTTTATTTTGTACTCTATTGGAGAAATACGTTTCACAACCCTAACAAGCTATAGAAAAGAAAAGGAAAAACAGTTGCTGTTAAGGTCGCATTGTGAACGTCTTAAATTCCGCCCGCACGCCCTGTGTAACACACACCAAACTAAGAAACACGATGACAACACCTAAGAATTTCTGGTGCTGGCCACGCCTATTTTATCGTTGTACTGAAAAGCGATTGGCTGCAGAGATTCTTGTGGGCGGCTTTTGGTGCTGAACACGAAGCCTGATTGGACAACGATAAAAAAAAGAAAAGGTCAGAGAAAAACAAAGTTGATCCCACCCAGGATATTCTCTCTAGCCTGCCATACAGCATTCTGTACGGCAGGGGGCAGCCTGGCCATGGAAATGTGGGCCATAACAATATGTGATCAAAAGTATAAAGACAGCCCTGTATATAATATATATATATATACTAGCATACATATTTTTCCAAGTGACAATGATGGGGTCAAGCTAAATGGCCACTGTAACCCCAGAAAACTGAAACTTAAGTTTGCACATACAAGGATTTTGGCTTGGTGTCTTGTTGCATAAAGATAAGTACAGTTGAAAAGTCAGGAGACATAACGTATAAAATATTAAAATCGCCAAACAGGAATGACCCCCATGCTCCCCCAGGACCCTGAATACAGATAAACATGTATTGACAATGGATGGGTGGATAAAGCAATAAGCAGCACTATTCGCCATATAAATATTGTCACCTGTCAATCACCATGAACTATTATCTCACCACTTCTGGTGCTTCTTGGGTGCAGTTACAGCTGTGTTGAGATTTTTGGTTGAAAATTCAATGTCACACTATCTTTTTAACAGCCACAAGTCTATGGGATAAGGATTGAGAGAGTCCAAAGGTCAGATGTTTATAACCGGGAAGATACTGGTTACATGCTCGCTCACCTGTCTCACCTGTCTCTCTGTCCGACTGCACATGTCTGTGTGTCAGACTGTACCTCTCTCTCTCTCTCTCTTTCTTTCTCTTTCATCAAATCCCAGTTTCTAACCCCTTTTATTCTCTGCTGGTAGCGCTGCTATTTTTGAAGATGTCTAAGGGGGAGCAGACTGTTTGCGGTGTTGAGTATTTCCAGGAACGAGGGCCAACTGTCACATTCAGCAACTTGCAGTACTGTGTTCATGAGACGAGGTTGGGCTGCGAGAGTGGTCCTGAAAAATACATCCTCAACGATGTAAGGTAGGACATGATACTTTCCTTTGAGAAATTATCACTTGGCGGTGACTCTACGTTAGCATGCCAGGGCTACCTGTATAACGTAAAACACTCCAGGTGTTTCTTCACCGCTTTTTCCTGTTTTCATACAATTACCCTATGCACTATGGTTGCTGTACATCTGACAATAAGTAAGTTATGAGAAGTGTTGTTCCGTTTGTGGCTCATTTCATCGAAACTGTGTATCATTATATACATTTTACAGGGAACTTGATCAATCTATTTATTTGTGTATTGTTTTATTGAGGCAAACTAAGATAAAAATAGGAGAAACGGAAACAAAACGTTTTCTGGTATCAGATCCTAAGCCAGAGGGAATCCATTTAAAAAATACACGAGTATTTTGGCTTTGGCTTTTAAAGCTACAATATATCATGGTAATTAAACACTGATTCTAGATAATCTTCTTATTTTAAAGTGTTCTCTGTAAATAAAATGACTTGACTTGATTTTCTGGTTGGCTGTTGCAGTGGCATCATGAGGCCTGGGATGAATGCCATCATGGGCGCCACAGGAAGTGGTAAAACATCGTAAGAAACACGTTTATGTACATGCACACACAGGCACGGTCTCACACACATGTACAACCCCAACCAAATGCATATTAGTTTCTTTCTCTTTTTGTCAGACTCCTGGATGTAATCGCAGGGAGAAAAGACCCTGCTGGACTGAAGCAAGGAAAAATCATGGTGGATGGCAAAGCCGCCTCGTCTGACCTCAGGCTCAGCTCTGCTTATGTGGTCCAGGTACACAAATACATACAAACATACACACACATTCTTTACTATTATCATATTTTGGATTCCTCTGAATACTTCGGGCCTTCATCATTCGTGTGCTTCCAGGATGATATCATAATGGGCACTCTGTCTGTGAGGGAGAACCTTCTGTTCAGTGCCAACCTGCGTCTCAACCCTCAGCATCACTCCTCCACGGATAAAAACAACAGAGTGGATGCCATCATACAAGACCTTGGCTTAACAGACTGTGCAGGCACCAAGGTACAGCGCTATACACACAAGCTAATAGCTAATAGCAAAAGACTGTCAGTTTACAAATATCTTACTCAGGAATAAGCAGAAGCACTTATTTAAAGATTGTTAAAAGGACAATTGATCTTAATAGCTTCCGTAGCCCTACCCAAATGAGAGAATAGTGTTCAAATTATAAGGTGCACAAATGGAAAAACGACTCTGTGGCCGTCTAATGTCCCAAATGTATGAGTGGCAGACATTTATTTGTTCTCTTTGATGATGTAATGTATTTCAACTGTAGCAAAATCTAAAAAACTGATATGTATGTGTGTGTGTGTGTGTGTGTGTGTGTGTGTGTGTGTGTGTGTGTGT